ACCATTTACCTTTGACAAGGCATCCTGAAATAAGAAGAAGAAATCGAAATTCCTCATCGCCCTTAGTCAATTACCAGGGGTACGTGATCAGTAAAAATACAAGATATGCATTGCATACATATTCGTTTGTAGGTAATGCTTGTTTACTTGCTCAATGGTCATGGTCAATGCTCATGTAGTTTCGACGAATGTCGAATGGCAAATAACGCCAGAATTATAGACGTTTGAAAACAGATCAAAGTAACATTTAACGTCTGATCATAATAAGTATAGTTCCTGTTTTGAAAAGAACTCTGGCTCCAAGCATGTTGAAGAAAACGAACTTTTTATAGGTATCACGGACACCAAAATGTCAAGTCTCACCTCTGGACGGGAGGTCTCACCTTGTCCGTGGGGAAATTTGATCGGGCAGAAGAAGCTACATGTGCCGCGCTCTTCGCAGCATTTTCGGAACACGTCCTTGTTGTTTTGATAGAAGAGACAGCACGCGAAGGGATCTGAAAAAAGATATAGGAGTAACGCTATTCATAACTCATGAGAGCTGTGAACATTACCTGGAAACTGAGACTTTCCTTGTCCAACTATCTAGCCGGTACACTATCTGCTTAACGAGTTGATGCTGCATTAACTAAAATGATAACTCAGTTCGTAAGCACACGGTAGTTTAGTTAGTGCCCAGAGGCTCCAGAGTATCGTCAACCAACTATTCTGAAAAAACTCACCTTCTTTATCGGATAATTTTGGTGGACAGGTATAGTCGCATGTTCCCTCATTTTTACAGCATTTTTGGTACTTCTTGGAGTTGATTCCGTAAAATTCACAGCACGCAGATTTATCTGAAACGGGTTATGAACTAGATGCCGGCAGCGCTCTTGCGTTGCCTTGGGCCAGAATTGGAGGAACGGACTGAGGGCACACACCGGGCCAAACCACCGAAACCCAGACTGAGCTTGGACTGAACCTGAAACCAGCCGAAACATCCCAAAAATGCTTGGAAGCACGTGAGATTGGTGTGGATATCTACCTACAGTAAGATATGAATTAACTGCGCGTGCGTAGTTCATGTCCCAGGCACCCCAGTGCAGTCATTTTCATTACACCCTGTAGCGTGTGGCTAGTTCTATCAGTGTACCGACTTTTGTGTCGCTAGCTCGACGTTTCCCGTGATCAGAGGATCCCTCGTCAAAACCGTTATCCGCCCCCCGCACGCGCAGCTTGCACCCCTCGGATATTATCTCGCCGGAATGTCGTGATCAAATGTATTCTTCTTATGACCTGCAAGTTTTGAACCAGTTAGAGCTGCCGTTTACCCTGCAGGCGTGGCAACGTACGAAGGGGTGCAATCTGCTTGCACGTGCATAGCTCATGCACCACAGAGTTTAGCTCAACCAAATATGCATTATTTTGGAGGCCTTACTTGGGACTACCATTGAACCGATTTTGAGGTTGATAGCTTAAAATTTCTTTGAGCCAGAGGACCTCACGTCAAAACGGTTTTCCGACCCCAGCACGTGCAGCCTGCACCCCTCGCAGACGGTGACCCCCCTGGAAACTGGTTCAAGGTGTTACCGATATGTCCCGCCAGTATGGCTTTGCCCGTGACCTCGGGTTGACCTGTAGCCTTGACAAAAAATTTCGTGTCACCGAAACTTTGAAGCGGAATAGCATGTGCCACGAAGCACCGAGCGAACCGAGACCAGCACCAAAAGTTTACCTCGCCGGAGACGAGTCGAACGGTCCCACTTTCGTCCCGATCGGTCCACCCATTTTGACTCCAGGTCCAAAAATGCTTGGACAAACTCACTCACATACTCACATACTCACATACTGACAAACAGGCTTGGCCGAACTTTTCTTCAGCGACCCACCAATGGGAATTTCCGGATGCAAAAGCATGCTATCGCATGCTTTTGATTCTCCAATTCTGGATTAGGATTAAGACACATGACAGTTATTCTTTTATATAGGGTATCTTATATATACACTACTGTTTAACTGGTATATAGTAGTCCGGGCAATGTAGATATATCGCTATGCTAAAGCATGAAAATCACTGCCTAATTTAGGTATTAACTATTAGCTGCAGACCAGGGGACTGATGAGATCAGCATGAAACATGAAACAACCATATTCTGATACCTGAATCGGTACTATTTTCTCACAGGTATGTCCTTTATCATGCGTGTACGTATGTCCGTCGAGGGATATATTGTGACATAAATTATGAAAAATGTCTCTCCTGAAATATCAAATTGCATCCGTACATATGATCTGCACCTTTGCCAGTGTTTTAATGGTTGAAAGAAACTTCTAACAGCTTGTCACCATCGAATGTCAGGGGTCAGGGACCAGGGGACTCAGGGGACTCACTGTTATACCCCGAGCTGTGCTCTGTCTCAAACCTTTGGGTGTCGTGTCGTCTTGGGTCAGCGCCCATTGGATGCTGCCCCCGAGCGCCAGCAGGGTCAGCGGCTGACTGAACACAGTCGCCATCTTGTTTTCGGAGATCGGCAGGAGAAACAGTTCACCTGTAAACATGATCAGTGGCAGACGTGGCAGAAACGGCGCGTCGGCGATGCAGCCAGTAATGCCCCAAGATGAGATTCAATGCAACTGAAGAACGTTGCCAACGCTATAAGTATAAGATATCTTTATGAGACTTTTGGCGTCCTTTGCTTGTAATGTGCGGCACTCACTGACCAGTGACCAACGTGTAAATCGCACTCACCTCCGTACCTATATACCTTGATGAAGCGGCGTCAGCAGGTGCCCTACCTCTCTGCCAGTCCGTACCGTGCTGCGATGTGTTCCGATCGCCAGGTCCGATGATGCCTCAGCTTATACCGATCCGATCTCATGTTGCGGTCTGTGCAAAACCCAGCTGGCGGAAGTCCGTTATTTGTTTGTCAACGCTGCAAATGTACTTCCAAACAAAACTGTGTCATGACGTGGCTCGGTTATTTTGTAGGGACTGATTTTGTTTTCATCCGGCCACATCGCCGCAATCTGCCGCAATCTGTCTTTTCTAGCTTTCGTCCTTTTGCAATATGTATGTAGTATTAATACTTAACAAAGTGATTGAGAATGACTAATTTCTATTTATGTGTGATTTTAGCACTGAGTTATTAAAGCCTATCCAACATCACGATTAACCTGCTCTTCGCTGGGGAGAGGGGGAGAGGGGGGGCAGAATCTGCCCCTTCAAAGAATGCAAAGAAAGCAGCCACCTCTGGCAAAAGCCAATCGTCAGCCAATCAGCATGCCGTTGGTTTGAACTACGCAATATGATTGGTCAACGCGTAAAAAGCTTCCGCTGCATTTAGCCTCTACTAAAGATGGAAAATAATTCTTCCTATCAGGCGCGCACACATAATTTTTGAATGGAAGAGGCACGACCTGCAAACTGGGCCCCCATGCCGAAGCCCCAAGCCGAAAAAGTTGCCCTAAGTAACATATATGGACTCAAGTCATATGGGCCTGCTGGGGCCCAAGATAGTCCCTCTTGTCATTTCAATCATTTTTGCTCATTCTAGACGGTTTTCGGCAGTCTAAAGATTAGGAGCCCATTTAAAGACCATTTGGGGCGGTCAAAGGCTGCTTCAGATGCCCCTCCCCCAATTCAAATGGGGAGGGCACGGGCCCATGTGCCCCTTTGTGTGCACCCTTGCTTCCTATATTAAAATATTGTAGCACGCGCAGTGGAAGGGTTCCGAGAACCACGCCCAATGGAAGGGGGGGGGGGTGGCAATTGTCGCCCCTCTAAGATCTCAGCTCCTATGGAAGCTAAAAAACGAAATTTGAAGGTTGGGTGGGCGGCGGAAAACTCTATTGCGTGTTAACCCGCGCACCGACGGGGGTCTGCGCCAACTTAGTACCGACGGGGGGGGGGGGGCGGATGACCGCCCCCCCCCCTGAGATCTCGAGAACGAAGCAAGATAGCGACAAGCGGTAAACGGCATCGGATACGCACGGTCAAGATCTACAATTTTTACAAAGGTCATTTTCAGGTCAGGTCAAAGATGACGTCACAGGGGTCGAAAAAGTCAAAATGGCGGCGCTAAATATGGAGAGAGTTTTTCTCGAATAACTTTCGAATTAGTCAAGATAGGAACAAACTAAGGGCATCATCGTGATCCTCTCGTCAATCCGCATCGAATGATATATATGTTGACCTCGAAAGGTCAAGGTCAAAGGTTGACCTCAGGTCACGTGACCTCGAGGTCATCATGTATATCATTCGATGCGTCTTGACGAGCTGAACACAATGAGACCATCCACGCGTCTGTATCTTGTTCCTGTACGGAGTTATTGGCCAAAAACCTTTGGTGACCTTTGATGACGTCACATGACCTCACAGCTGCCCAACAGCAAAACAGACCTCAAGGTAGTGAAGGTTGATCGTATATGAAGTCATGTATGGTATATGGGGCCATTCCGACCCGTTTTAGTGGTAAAAACAGGGAGTTGATTTTTCCCCCATTGACTTATAATGGGGAGGTCGCGAAATTGACCTGACCTTAGGTCACCGATATCAAAATTCCGAGATAAACGAATTGTAGCTACTAATGACCTAATAACATCCTGCGACTTTCAAAGGCCTCCGACATCTACTGTAGCTCTGGCACGGTGACAAAGTTGCAAAAAAGTGACTTGAGGCTGGGTCATTCAAAGTGACCTGGTGACCTGACCTTGAAAGGTAGGAGGTTCAAACTTGCACACCATGTGTAAAATTGATAAGGGAATAGTCATACCAAATTTCGCGGCGCTACGCGCCGCGGTTTTCCCGCTATTCGCGAAAAACCTCAGGGGGGGCGGATATCCGCCCCCCCCGTCGGTGCGCGGGTTAATGTCATAACACTAGGTCAATCAATATCTTCACGGTCAAATGAGGTCAAACGTGGTCAAATTTGCTATATGAGGGACTACTTTGTGTTTACACGCCAATAACTCAAAAAGGTACTGAGCGATTTCCTTACTTCTTTCACTATATCGACAGCTCATACAATTGAGACAGATATAAAACTCGCCTTGTCACAGTTGGTCATTTGTCCACTGGCTGCAATCATCAATAGGTATGTGATAAGTGTAAACCTAGGGTCTGAAACACAGGTTATTTATCTATATATATATATATATATATATATATATATATATATATATATATATATATATATATATATATATATATATATATATATATATATATATATATATATATACTAGAGGTACAGGTTTACGCGATAACTGTATGTTTTGAGTTATGTTATGTTACGGGTGCATTAGTTTGGGTGATTGACTTGTATTTTTAGATGTATTATTTGGATAGATTTGGGTAGCTGTTTTTAATTAAACTGTAAGGGTTGGTGATAGGTGCGGTGCGGGGTGTTCAAGTGTTTTGTATGTTAGGCCCTTTTTGAACTTAACCCTACCCCTACCCTACCCTACCCTACCCTACCCTACACTACCCTACCCTACCCTACCCTACCCTACCCTACACTACCCTACCCTACCCTACCTATACCCTACCCTACCCTACTCTACTCTACCCTACCCTACCATACCCTACCCTACCCTACCCCTACACTACCCTACCCTACCCTAACCTACCCTACACTACCCTACCCTACCCTACTCTACCCCTACACTACCCTACCATACCCTACCCTACCCTACCCCTACCCTACCCTACCCTAACCTACCCTACACTACCCTACCCTACCCCTACACTACCCTACCCTACCCTACCATACCCTACCCTACCCTACCCCTACCCTACCCTACCCTAACCTACCCTACACTACCCTACCCTACCCCTACACTACCCTACCCTACCCTACCCTACCCTACAATCCCCTACCCTACCCTACCCTACCCTACCCTACCCTACAATCCCCTACCCTACCCTACCCTACCCCTACACTACCCTACCCTACCCCTACCCTACCCTACTCTACCCTACCCTACGCTACCCTACAATCCCCTACCCTACCCTATCCTACCCTACTCTACCCTACAATCCCCTACCCTACCCTACCCTACCCTACCCTACCCTACCCTACCCTACAATCCCCTACCCTACCCTACCCTACCCTACCCTACCCTACCCCTACCCTACCCTACCCTACCCTACCCTACCCTACAACTACCCTACCTACCCTACCCTACCCTAAACTACACTACCACCGACAGTCCAAGTTTCAGCTAAATCATCCCAGAAACGGCTGAGATATTGCAAAAGCAAATTAATTGTATTTACTGGCGAATCCCCTTGGCTAGCGGTGCCCTGTGTCGGCCTTCGTTGTCAAAGGTCAACGACCTGCCGGCTCTGATGCTTTCACTCAGTTTTTTAAGCGAACAACTGAGCCTAAAGCACGTGCCCTCTGCTCGGCGCCGGTCGCGATTCTAATGCTAACCCTATGGCGCACATGAGCACGCGCCACGGGTGCACCCCTGGCCGCATCGTGCCCAAAATTTAATACGACCTGTTGAATTACGTGACCCACGCGGTCGTGAAAATTTCACCCTCCTGCGTCAATCGACGGCGCCGCAATAAGCGTTTTTGGGAGTAACACCGACTGCGTAACCCCGACGGCGGCGTGGGCGGCGGCGGCGGACTTTTTATAAGATTTATAATAGTAGATAGACTAGAGGTACAGGTTCACGCGATAACTGTATGTTTTGATATGTATGATTAACGGATGCCATGGGCGGCGCCACCGGGGGGGACGGGGGGGACAGGTCCCCCGCTATCGAAAGTTAGGGGGGTACAGTACCCCCCTATCGGCGAGGCCCGTTCAATAGTTGATAATAATGCATTGTAAAGTTATCCGTCGCATTTAATGCATCGTTGGTTAATCAAGGCAGGTTCTGAATAAAGATTGCTGTTGGGATGTATCGCAGGGGGTCCTGGCCATCTGCAAAAGGTGTGGAGCTGTGATGCCTATAAGGTGATCGGCAGGGCCTCGGGGATCGTGCCCCCCCCCCCCTTTTGGGGCGCCAGGCAGGGTTATTACCTCCCCACCCCACTGCCAGACCCCATTGCCGACAAAACCAAGTTAACTGAAATTCCATAGATTTCCGTTACTATATGGATATTTTCCATTCCTAATTAGTCAAATTCAAGCATGGCAGCTCTACCACAGGAACCATTTGAAATCTATGCCATTTAACCCCAGCACTTGTGGGGAGAAGTGTTCGGATAGATCACAGGCAGGACCAAAAAAGCACGCAGTAGCCCAAGACCTTATAATTGGGTAGCATCGGCTCCCTCTCGTCAAGGGGTTCGATAGCACTCGTTTTTATTTTCTGCAAAACTAAGTTCGGTCGGCGGCCGAACGGCTGGGGGTCTAATCGAGCCCCCCCCCCTCCCCTTCTTACGTCAGCGGCTGTGAAAATGCCATTACCAGCTGTTGAAACATGGCAGTTGCTTTTGCATGAGTGCACGAAAGTGTTTTAGGTACGTGATACGTGAAAGGTTCTACATGGAAACTGAGATACACCAGCTTATCAAATTGTGCTCACTGTGGTGCGCTCGGTTTTACCTTGACTAGTCTTTGAATTCTGGGGTGAAACAGACCAGTCAAGAAACATGTTCCATAAGGAGAGCCACTAATGCTAAAGAGATGAGGGATGAGGTTTCCAGAGACCTTCATTACCTCCCAAAGGGGGTGCCCCGCCATTTGCCAATCCCCATGCTGTGTTGTTACGATTGGAGGGTGAATATGAGAACGATGCAGGTCGTGCCAGCTCGATCATGACGAACACAATGGTGCCGACATCACAGCTCTACTGCCATTTTTGACGAAGTTAATCATTAAGGACCGGAATCCTACCCTGAGGCATTTCACCTGCAGAGGCCGCCGGACCTGAGACCCTTTCACTCAATTTTTTTCAACGGTGCATGCGGCATGCGCTCGTTTTTTCCCGC